CCTTCGTGTCGTGGGAAAGGAATGAAGTAACTTTTAAAACTCTCGTTATTACTGGCGAACAGCTACATACAATCTATCTTACAGACAATGTCACAATGACTCACAGTTGAATTAAACGTGTTCCTACCCCGCGCTGACGAGTGTGGTGAAGCATGGTCTAATAACCCTCAATGACCCACGCGACATAAGGAAGCCTTCAAAAGAACCGTTAATGTGCGTGTGAAAATATATACAATGTTTAATAATCCATTATTGAATATGACTTAAATTGTATAGCTATTATATGATTATTTTATGCAACTATACGTACAGATTTTCTCTGAATGTACAACCATAAATCTAATTGCACACCATGCATTGCTTACAGATATAAACTAAAACGAACTCTTAAAAATGTTTATCAAAGTAAAATTATTTTATTTAACCAGGTAAGACCCACTGAGCTATATGACTCGTTTTCAGAAGCAACCTTGCCACAAATAATAGCTCAACGAAGTGGCTTATCGTGTGGACATTTATAGCAGCCAAATACTCTTAAACGCGTGTTTCTAGATGTGGAGGGAAACCCCGGATGATCCGGATTAAAATTCACGCGACCACGGGGAGAACGCGCAAACTCCATATATACAGGCGTCAGGGTCGGGATCAAACCCACGACCTCCTGTATACAAGGCGAGGTAGTTAACATCTCGCAAACCGTAACGAGATGCCACCTTCACCAACCCGCACTGACCAGGATGGCAAAATAATGTCAAACAAAAACAAGGATAAAGATCCCCCATATAGACTGAACAGACCTTTGGGGCAAGTGCTGTTAGCACCGATGAAGACCAGCACGGCACAAGGGGGTAGGTGACCAACACCACACCCGGCCACCTTTATCTCCCAAGCAGTGATGTTTACACAATGCACCAGGTACTCAATAGTGGCCGAGTCAACCCAAGGGAAGCCCAGCACCGGTTCAGATAATTGTCATTGGTGTTGGCCGTGAACGGGAATCGAACTCTGGTCGTCGGGTTTGTAGCGCGGCGCGTTGAACGCCTCGCTGCCGGCCCCCGCAACCAGCAGCGCCATGAAGAGGCCCTCCCTCATCCAGCAGTAGACTGACAAAGACCTGTTAAAAAAAAATCTGATTTATAAACAAAATAAATCAAACCATTTGTGACCAAACAAAAAAATGTCTGGAATACCACAATCACAAACGATGTTTAAAACAACCCACGAACATTCTGACACCTAATTAATTGTGTTCACAGTCTTGTCAAATGTATAAATAAAAAGGGGCTCAAGAGGAATCACAGATCTTCTGGTGGTGGCTGAAGTACGCTTTCATGTAACGGTGTCTAAATCTGTACGGGGGGGTGGGGGGGGCGGCGCTGCGCCTTTGTTGCATTTAAAGGGCTACCACCCCGGGTTCTTAATCACTGACCCTGTTTACTCCCCAAACTTTGCGTGGCACTGCTGGGAATGCAAAATGAGCAACCCACATGGATGTCCTGAGTCTAAACAAAACGTCGGCTGTGCAGGGAAAATCACTCATCCACCCGAGGTCGTTTTCTCAGCCGAGACCCTCTCTCCGCTCTCTCTCTCTCGCGAACCCCGAGGAGAGCGGAATGGAATTTCCCCCCCCCCCCTGCCCTCCACTCACACCCACATCTGGGGCATTTTATCTGTCGCGTTCGAGCGCCTGACCGCCTTGTGCGCGCGTTAAGCCTCGGCGCGCAAAATCGGCGGCATTAGAGAGGCTTTGATTGTTGTTTATTTTGAGCAATTAAATTAACCGGCGACGTGGCAGGGAGGGGAGCGTGAGCGCGGTGGTTCACACACTGCGCTGTGAACCTGCGGCGATCTGAGTTCGATTCCTGGTCATGAATAACAGCGGCGATTGATATCAGAACCGGTCTGGACCTCTGCAACCCCGTTACCAACCTGCATTGACGATGGTGGCGAAGTATAGCATAAATAAACCAAATGACTGACATGGGTGTGAGATTTGCATCCTGCAGTGGACTGATAAAGAGCTGACAATCATGTTTCAACAATTATATTAAGCGGAGAAAATATTATTGACTGCATTCTCATTAAATCATCCGACCTACCAACATTAATTATGAGCGTTGAACTAATAGTGCTTGTGGACTTGAATTTGTGGCAAGCAGTCATGCATGCAATCATTTCAACACTACAATGGAACATTGAAGAATATAGAGAGAAATAAATTTACATGAAGAATGTCTGCATGGAGTATCGGGCGTAAACAAGTTATATATGCGCGTGTCAAACACTCGGGCTGGAGCGATTCAGCCCACTGGCCGTTTGTTGGATGTTTTCGCAACAACCGGTGCCACGATTCCACTCAACGATTGACCCTCTTTGTCACATTGCGGTGAACAGCAGCAGCTCCTCGAGGGCAGCGGCCCTCAGCCGATGCAAACATTTCCACGGACCACCCATCACCCCTGGGAACACAGCTCATTCACTTCTCTCTCTTTAAATACCAGGAATATAAAATTATTCACATTACCGAAATGTAAAAAAACTTTTCTTTTTAAACGCAGCGATTAGGGTTTTTTTTGGGAGGGCATTTTAGATCTTAGGATTAGTGCAGTTGAGTAAGGGGAGTTTACCTAACTTCATTTTTTAAAATTAACTATCATAAGTAAAAAAAAAATACAATTAACGTCCGATACAAAATGTATAAACATTGTCATTATTGCCTGTATCAACCTGCGCTTGCATGGCAGCCCCGCGGACTACCTGGAGGACCGTCGCGGACCACCCCGTTGGGTACCGGGGACCGCACTGGCCCCGAGGCTTCAGAGGAGACCTGAGTCTGTTACAGAACACATGCTCCAACTGTGAAACATCGATTCTTACACTCGTGATTCAATGCCTGTATCATGAGGATCCGAATTGATATTAATTGATTAATCCTCGATGCGAACCCCTGCAATAAGCCACTTTTACTGCACAATCCAACGGTGCCAAAAAAAAATTACCAAATCGTGCGATGTTTACGTAATTCCACCGAGGCATCCCAATTCTGCTCGGCGCACAACACATTTGTTCACAATTTAAAATGCAGGACTTTATTTTAACAAGTGGTCCAGAAAATAATAATAATTCACCTCTGGCAGGTCCTGTGAGCAATCATGAATCATTTTGTTTAAGATACTTTTTTTCAAAATTGCTCAGAAGGTTTTGTTTAAGACTGGATACCATTCTTTGTTTCAGAGTGGATACCATTCTTTCCTTTTTTTCGAAACGAGGTCCCAAAACGCAATTTCGATTATTTAAAGTGGACGGAATGGCACGTCCGGAAATTGGGTTGTTTTTTTATTTAGATTAACACGAATTAAATTGAAACACAAATATTTATAATCTAAAGAACATGGAGCCACACTTCAGGGCTTCATATTTAGTTTGAGGAGTTTTAGGCCATGACATGGACCGAATTTTCAATGCGAATGTTTTGTTCAAATAAGTGCCATTTATTTATGTAACCTAAAACTAAACTAAAAGTTTGTAACATCAACAAGACAATTAGTAAGATACACATGCTTCCGAAAGATGCTCGTCCTACTCACGCATACGATGACACAAACGATGTGATATTTATATATTTGTACGATACATTCATTTAGGAATACACATGAATCTAATATAAATAAGCTAAAATCAATTACAGACAGCTCCAATCAGGATGCGACCATGAAAGCAAATGCATTAATCACAGCGCACAATGTCAGTCGTGGCCGTTACCAAGATACTAAACTTGTTCAAATAAAAACATAGGCATTTAAATTCAAGATGTTTCTCTCACTGAATGATGGCAACCACAAACTAAAAACTGAACCGCAGCCAATGGAGGCAGTTCGTTTTACGATCCGAGGTTCTCATAAACCAGAAATAATAATACAACATTATAAACCCACAACGTCTCTGGGAATAATCTAAAACAACCATATTACCAAATGTTGCCTATGTAATGAAACAATTAAAAAAAGTACGTATTATCCACGTAACAACTCATGCTAGTTCAGTATTTATCAAAATGTGAGTCGTCTGATGTTTTACCAGCCTCAATGAGGAGGATGTTTGCTGGGCGGTGGCGGAGCGCTTAACGCACTGCACTATGGCCACCTGAGTTTGTTTCCCCGGTCATGGCTAACATCAGTGGTAATTGTTGGTATCTGAACTAGCACCGAGCCCATCCCTCGCCGCAATAAACATGCTTCGGGTGGGCCAACGTTGCCACGCGGTTGCATCGACAGCCAATGTCGAAGCAACGATGACCCAGCGTGTGCACGTTTGCTGTTGCCAATGCGCACCAGCCACCACTGTCAAGTGTAGCCCAAACAACCCCCAGAACCGACAACGGTTCGGGTGGGGAGGCCCTCGTCCAGTGGTGTATTGACAAAGATGTGTAAATTACAATGCTCGTGCTTTATAGAAAGGCTCAGAGGGGGGCAATGCTTTCCTCAACCACATGTTGTTCCACAAAACCAGTCTGGTCTCCTCGGACAATTTCAAGCCATAGTCCAGAAGAAATGAGCTAAGAACCCACAACTTTGTCTACTGCCTGATTGACGACATTGTTGGACCAGTTCTGGACACCAGCTTTAAATGATCAGCTACATATGTTCATTTTTTTTTGCCAGAAACAAACAAACAAACAAAAAACAAAAAGTGTATTAATATTTTAATGTCACTGGTTGCATAATCAATTACACACAAAGTGCTTGCCACATATGAAACACAATACCTTTGCTGATCTCATCAAGGAACATAAACCATCGCGCGAACTCCGGTCATGCTCGAAGCGGCTTTTGGCTGCCCATTGAATAAAGATGGTCACTGCATCACGGATTTTCAGATGCGTTTCTGCGGCTGTCTGGAACGCTCTTCATTTCGATATCAGGAAGCCATTGGAGCTATGCACTTTTAAATCTAGATTGAAAACTCATTTATTTAGAACTGCTTTTTGCGTTAAGTTTGTCCCCCCCCCCTCCCTCCACACCTCCGATTAGAGCGGTTGGCTATGTACAGCGCAAAAGAAGTTCAACGTACAAAAAACATACGTACATCAAGTGTGCAAGAGAAGGCCAAATAGCCGTCTCTTGGGGCTCCATAACCCACTGTAGCGTAGGATCCTCTGTGAGCAGTCATGTGAGGAGGTGATTGCAGGGCTGTACCTTTACCATTTTTGTCAACAAATGGAAAAGCGATACGTATTCTGACTTTAAAAAAATACATATTAATTATTCATAATTTTGTCAGTGTGCATCCGGTGATATTATTTACGTTCTGAATCATGCTTCAAACATTCTGGATGTTATAGCATGGAGGTTATATAATAATAATAACAATATAATAATAAAAACAATAGCAATGTCATCAACAAAGCACTCAAACACAATTTAATGACATTATTTATGAAAACCCACACAATGCCCTCCACAAAATAAATGTGCCATGCAACGTTGAAATAGCAGTTTGTATTGTATAAAAAAAAAACAATATAAATGTTCCAATATTATTAGCACACCCCCATCCCGTAGCATTTTAACGTCAGTGCCTTTTCCCCCTCGGCTGATGCTCCCCATGACTTTTGCACGCGCTGCATTTGAAAATCCACAATACATTCTTGTATGGAAATGATAGATTTGTGGGCAAGTTATTGGCATTCGTGCATCAAATCCAAGTGCACTGTTCTGTTCTAACATGTGGTCACAGGCTTTCAGTGCCTTGTATAAACATGCTTAGCGCGTATAGTTGAAGCCTAATGCTGTGGGTACTGAAATATTCATGCAAAACATGATTCACTTCCAAATGTACACTCACCCACCCTCCGCTCACAAACACATGGTTCCATTAATGGTGGACGGTAAATCAGTGTGTGGTGCTTTAAGGTTATTTAAGAGCCTCAACAGGTGGCAATTAACCCCATCAAAAATCACCGTGTGCTTTGCGTGTATTGCTCAATATGATTAAGGTAATTGTTAACTAATTGTTCACAGACTGGAGCAAGTCTTTACATTACGGCTTTGCGAAATAGTATTTTTTTTAATTCCTTCTAAACTTGATTTAGGGTGAATTTCTCACTTTCTTTCTCTCCAAACTGCGTATGTGCACGGCCCCCTTTGTCAAGCCCCCAGTGTTTCTTCACCTCGTGCCCCTTTGGTTCTTAATCGTGAACATTAAATGTACAAAGTTAATAAATACATCGGGGGTTTGATGAGACAAAGAAGTTGTAACTCACGTGCCCCGTGCTTAATTTGTGTTTTCGATGATTTACCTTCGAAAAAGATCTGGCCACGTCTCGCGCCGCCAGAAAGGGCATCTCGCACCCCAAGGGCGTGCAGCGTGCACCCCATGTGAAGAAGAACCACTGGTCAAGCCACTTCTGGACGAGGCCTTCTCACTCCGCGCGGGTCACGAGGGCTGTTCGACCACACTTCACCGCGCTGATCGACACACGTCGGCGAAGGCGTGGAGCATAGACATTCGCGCGTAGTACAGCACAACTGTGGGTTTTCTCCTGCGGTGCCTTCTGCTGACAACCGTAGCCCCGCAGCTGCCCGACAGCGCCTGCTTTTTTTGTTAATGCAATGGTGGTCACCCGTGGCACAATCTTGCTTGGCTTCTGAGATATGCCGAGATCCGGGGGTGCATTCCGGGTGATTTGTTCACAAAGCGAAACTTTGTTCATGTAACGAGATTTCCTCCCACACCCCCTTTGTGATTTCTTGGACGATTGCACCCGAGGCGAGCCTGTGGGAACGTGGGTGTGAAGAAGGAATGCAAAATCTTGATGGTACGCACCGATGCTAAAGTACTGTGAGGTGTAGTTTTTTTTTAAAGTTGGGATAACAACTTGTTCCGTACCCATGGATACGACGTTTTCACTCTGCGAAGGTGCACGTTTAATTTGTGTGTACGGTGCCGCAATCAATCGCGATGTGCTGGCCCCTCGGCTATTCCGCACCTCCGATCTGCACGGTTGGCTACGTACCGTGCGAAAGAAGTTCAACATTACATGTCTCCGATGCATATGCAATAGCAAAGGCCCATGCTACTACTAGTAAGGGGCAATTTGAACGCTGCTTCTGTAAACACACCTCAATGAACCTGTCAAAAATATGACGCAAGACAGAACCGTTTTCTAAAAAGCCAACTATGTGCGGCAACGTGGACTGTAGATTAATTTTAAAACTGGCTTCCAATGCACGTGCCTACAAGCGAACCACTTTGCAGGGGAGGTTGACAGAGGGATTTGCGATCAACTCGTGGCGTTTCTTCCAGCACCAACCAGAACAGAACGAAAGGGCAGGGAGTTAAAACTGGAAGTAACGTTACGAGCATTTCAGTTTAAGCTGACCCGAGCGACATCCGAGCGGCGCTATTGGAATCGTTACCCTGCACCTTCCACTCTGGGATTTTTTAGTTCACGTTTTCCGAAGGTGCTTGAATGCAGGCTGAAATGGAGGAGAGCGTTGACCACGTCGCTTAACCTCTAGTCTGAGGGTCTAAGTCGATACCTCAAGGCTGAGCCCCCGTGTGTCGTAATCTCATGGGTCACATGGACCGAGCTCTTATCGTCGTATTGACTTTTCCCGTCGAGTGGTCGGCCCAGGAATTTTTTGGGGCAGCTTTGTGCCAGCTGATAAAGGGCGTGAGCCACAATATGGGGTGACAAATTGTTAAATATCCGTGACTAAGTGGAGGCAACGCAGACAACGTTTTGGGGAGTGTGTGTGTGGTGGGTTCGGGCGGCGAGAAGAGCAGATGGGGCATGGAGAATCCAAAGGTCAGGGGTGAAAGAGCATGACTTGGCATGTACCGCTTTGACTTGTGGCTCCAGTGGTCTGTCTGCTGCCTGTCTCACGCTCATTCCTGTACCAGAGATAAACAAACACGGCAGTTTACGGTGAGCGTTCGTGATTAAACAAAAAATTGCATTTTATTGGGGTTCCTTATTAGAACTTTGGATGCAATCGCATTCTGTCATGCCGTCGTCCGTGACCTTTGAATCTGCGTGAGCAGTGAAGGCTTCCTTCACAGCAAATCTCCAGACTAGCACACACAAACTTTTATTACGACTATTTTATCTACAAAAGAAACGAGATCTCATCTGATCATTAAAAAATAATTTGAAGTAGACATCACAGTTAGATCCTCGAGCGCGCTGCACGCACGCCACACATTGCTCTTGCATTCAAATCACGAGATAATAATCGACGGCCATGCCGCAATCATTCATGCAGTCTCCAGGTTTAAGATATAAACATCCACCCGATGGGTTTTGTCTTTTTTCTCTTCCATCTTTAGAGTTGCCCTTTGACCCCCGACAAAGTGCCACACAATCGCTTTCTTTAAGGGCCTCCAAACCTAACCCTCTGAAAAATGAGAACCCTCCCCCCCCCCCCCCCCCCCCGCAAAGGACGTGGGCAAAAGTTTTTTTTTTGTGTTCGTGCCCCAGTGCAACCACAAGTATCAGTGAAAGATAAATAACGGCCCCCTTCCAGCCGATCTATAAAACAGTCCTGCCCTGTCTGCGGAAATCTGGTGAAACCGACTCTGTGGATCACTATTTAGCGCACGCAAGCCGACCGACCGCCTTTCCCGTCGTGAAATATTGCTCGGCCGAGCAAAGGGCGTCTGGCACAACACGTGATCCAACCGAACGAGCGATTTATGAACGAGCGATTTATCAATCTGAATGGGCGATTTATCAATCACTCCTTCAGAATGTGTTAAAGGTCAAGGGTGATAACTGACGGTCACACGTTTCGAGAATGGGCAATCGTGGTCAAAAACACCTCTTGCGCCTCTGCGTGGCCACGAGGTAACAGGTGAGCTTCAAGGTCCCGTTTCAATTTTAAAGGGAAAGACAGAGAGAGAGAGAGACGTCGTTTGTCTTGCAGTTGCTGGGGCACCAAGGTCCATGTGATGAGTCCTGCGACGGAGGAAGCGCATGCCCAGGGGCCGGAATTGCATGTATGTTGAACTTATTTTGCACCGTACATAGCCAACCGCGATAATCGGAAGGACGACAAACTAAACACAAACAACTATTTTAAAGAAATGAGCTTTCAATCGAGATTTAAAAGTGCATAGCTCCAGTGGCTTCCGAATATCGAAAGGAAGAGTGTTCCAGATGGCCACAGAAGCACACCTAAAAGCGCGCGATGCAGTGACCCTCTTTGTTTGATGGCCAACCAAAAGCCGCCTGATGGTTGACGCTCCTTGACGAGATCAGCAAGGTGTTGTGGTTCATTTGTGGCGAGCACATTTGCGTGTAATGAGTGCGACCTTAAAATGATTATTGTAACATTGCTGGGGCCCAAAGCTATGTCCAGGCTTGGGGTTCGTAAATAGAGGAAAGCCTGTATATTTTGGTCATATCGGAATGAAAATAACCGCTTTAGAGAGGAGTTTTTCCCCATCTCCTATATTTTTCAACCGATTATGTAAAACTTGAAGCTTCGTATTATTATTTTTTCGTGTTTAGAAGCCCCTTGTAATATGAGGCCCTAAGCTGAAGCTTACTTAGCCGATGCCTAAATCCGGCACTGCATGTGGTGACACGACTACACCTCGTGCTAAAGTTACACGACACGGGCAAGAGAGGAAACGAGAGAGTTTCTAAGCTAATAAACAAATGAGGACAAAAAATATGATTTCAGTCAATGTTCCAGTCTGGGTGTATGGGTTGTGAGAGCAAGGCGTCCATCAACTATGACAAAAGTAATTGCCCGTTGCCAAATATTCCAAAAACCTTTGACGTCTTTCCACTGCTTATCCTCAGCTGTCCGCGTGCCCATTTCGCAGACATTGTAACTTAAAGAAAAATGTCTACGCGGCAGAATTTACAACTATTCTTCCAACGCTTTCCAGAAACCGATGTAAATACGTCTTCCAACGGCGAGGTTAGTGTTCTCATATTCTCTCCCCGCTCTCTCTCTCTCTGTCTCTCTAACGCTTTTTTTCTTTCAACATTTGCTTCTACAATTACTAAAGAAATAATGACCAAACAGTGCTTTTCTGATCCACAGAAGCCGCTCACTCTCCCACCCCCTGACAACCGAGTCCCATTGTTTTTTTTTGTGAATATAGCGCGCACAGTTCCTTTTCTTTCTCCACTCTCAAGTCTATCACGGGGGCCTCTCGGAGTAGACTGACATTTCTCTGAGCTCCTGCCAGTCTCCCTTTTGTTTCCCTTCAATCTCCGCTGACAGCTTGTGTTAAGGTATGGTTGTGGGGGGGGTGGCGGGGGAGCCACTGGGAAGGAGAGAGGTGGGGGGGGGCATTCAGAGCCGAAGCGCAGCTTTCAGCGGAAGACGACGCAGCCTTTTCCCGTCTTGAGACAGCGAGGCGCGCCTCCAAGCGTGAAAAAAAACTGTACAAAGTGTAACGTGTGTATGGTGGTGGGTGTGTGTGTGTGGGGTGGGGGGTGGTTTGTCTTTAACAAAGGGGAGAGAAAAATCTCTCGATGCTTGTCTCTTGCCGTCATTCGCAAATGGCAAACGTGTGCGGTCCGAGAGAGGCACCGATGTACCGACGTTAGGCGGCAGGGCCTTGACGTGCGTGGTGGTCACGCGCCGCGCCGTGCGTCCCCTCGGTTTGAAGTTGAATAAAGTGTCACAGCTGCGATGTCAATCAGCCGAGCCGGCCGACGAATATTATTCATTCCCAAACCGCCCCTCTTTTACCGATCGATAATAAAACGCAGCGCGAGACAAACGTCTCTCGAGATGCGTTCGCATTTAGACGTCATATAAATCACAGGTTGTATTATTTTTTTAATGAGGCATGCGAATTGTATAACTGCACGCGTACATCTTTAGAATCAGGATTTTCTGTTCATTTCCTGTGGAAAAACCTTACAAAACAAACTTCCATCGGACACCCGATTCAAAACGTATGCTGCCCTATCAGATACGATAACTTAATGCTCGGGGCAATTTCAAACGGCATTCGCTGGAATTCCAAATTCCTGAATCATCCTCAGAGGACGTTTCCTCTTAATTTTTTCGGGGATTTTTTGTTCTCTTTCTCTCTTGTCTCCCTCTGCCTCTCTCTAAAGAAAAACAACATTTCCTCAGGAGCGCAGAGAATAAGACAAGTCAATCACGGAGTGAATAATCGCGTAAATCGTTTTGCGGGTCTGGTCGTGACTGAAACTGTATTGACAGCGAGGATTATCTGGAATCGCAAACACTCCGTGATATCCTCTTGCTTACCTGACACCAACCTCAAATAACCAGCCAATTTAAATTGCAGATTAAGCTCAGAGCAATGTTTACCGGCAGCCACTCGTCTTTGCACATCATTACAGCAATTGGGATTGCACACAGAGAAATAAATGGTGTCTGTAGTCGTGAGCTGGACAGTGTGTGTGTCAGCTGCGCTACGCTTCGAATATCGGCAACCAGAGTTCAACTCTCGCTCACGACCAAGAATAGTGGGAAATATCTAAACCGGTCCTGGGCCGCCACAAATGAGTATGTAGCTGATGTATAAACATCGCCGCCACTAGGGAGACAAAGGCGGCCGGGCGTGGTGCTGTCTACAGTCTAAGACCCCTCGTGCGTTGTACGGCCTTCATAGGTGCTACTCGCTAACGGCACTTGCCCCAACAGTCTGTTAAGTCTACACGGGTGATGGGGGCAGGGGCCTCTTTGTATGTTTTGACGTTCGCGGGTAACGCAGTGGGAAGGGATCACGCATGGGCGGAATCTCGTTTCATTGTGTATGTTTATTATTAAGTGAAAACAGCTGCGCGTCGAGTCATCAAAGTTACCTGATACGCGACCCCCCCCCCCTTGCGGCTTCAAGAGAGCGCAGATTAATCGGCAGAGACACGAAAATTGCGTGATTGCTTTTCTACGCATGGTTGCTTTTATGTGCTTTGGACCAAGAGGTATTAATATTTTCGACTGTTAAATCCATGGCATGCCGTTGCTACCGCCATCTATAGAGTGGAGCAGCAAGCGCGTGTATCAAGTTGTATGTAGGTTGAACTTATTTCGCACCGTACGTAGCGAACCGTGCTCATCGGAGGTGTGGATGAAGGCCTCTTCCTCGCGAAGTTCCATCACCATATGTCAAGATCCCGTGCTGCGATAATCCACCCGGCACTTGCCACGCGCTCACGTTGGAAGACGTTTTTTTTAAAATAACCATGAATGCAAAAAAGCACACGGCATCTAAAAGACAACAGACTGACAGATTCGTGTTTTGTTCTCGTCGTAACACAGTGGGGACGACTTTACAACTACCATATTAGACTGGTGCATGTCTGTGTGGGGTACAGATTTCCTCATTAACGTTGATGCCATCAGGCCACTATCAAAATCACGCCTCTCATTCGGAAATGACGAATCGGAAATGTCGCCCTAATCTGTCGGCGTTGTCTAAACATGACAACCTTCCTAAGCATCCACACACCCAGGTTGTTCTATCGCGATGTGTGAAAAAGATGCAAGACAAAAAAATGTTGGACGCGAATTGTATTTACAACGTTACTGAATTCTTCATTTACAATCGGACATAGGCGTTCGGATCTCATACTCATCGCTCATGTTTTCCGTTCAACGAAGCGTCTGTTACTTGTAAGTCCACTTTGCCATTCCAGAATCAGAATTTGTATTTATCCTTGAGGAATCCGATGAGCCACGAAGCTCTTTATTCACAGATGCCCAGTCGTGGCGGATAAGCGAGTTACATCAACAAACAATACAAAACACGATGTGAATGGAAGATAGAGAAAAGGTAAGAAAACCACATGCAAAAATAAATAAAGTATAGAAGTATTGTACATATTGCGCTCGTGGATAAATCCACTGCTGGATGAGAGCCTCCCAATGCACGACCTGTCCAGTTACCCAGTAGCAGTGGTGAGCGTGAATGTGTTAATGTTTTAAAGGCAATTGGGCCTCATGACGGTGGTGATGGTGGTGGAGTGGTTTTTCGAGGGGTGGCGGCGATGGTGGTGGTGGAACCCGGGAGTGGTCAACAGTAAACGCTCCAAAGTGGCTCATAATTGAGGGCGTTCGGCCCATCTGGGAGCTGGAGCTCATTTCCGAGTTCAAAGATCCCCCCCGTCACTCACTCGCCATCGCACACTGCAGCCCCCCCCCCCCCCCCCCATGTACGAGCCCACAACACCCCCACTGGCAGCTTAACGCCTAGCGGGGCTTGCGCGACCAATATTATTCATGATAAAGGTTTTTTGGGTTAGATCGCGTTAAGTGTAAATGTGTCGTAACCCTCCACCACCCGACACAGCCAATTAGTGAGGGATTTGTCACGTGTGCTGGAGAGTAAATCCACAACATTTACAATTTGAGCAGTACGACGTTTCGCTGGTAATTACATCCAGAGTCATCGGGCGTTCCCCCATCCACTCCCCCAACTGGCGTGGATGTGGGAACGCGATCGTCAGCAGACATCGGGAGAAGAGGGGCCGTCAAACCATACTGTTGCTGCTTGCTGCTGCTGCTGGGTGATAGGTTGCTGGTGGTCATCGGCCCGATAAACGTGGCCGGCCAAGTTAGCAAGGTGCATGTCACGCGAAATCGGAGGAGGGAGAAGGGAGGCGGCGGGGGGGGGGATGGACACGCTGTCGTCACTTGCCACCAAATTAAGCCATCTGCAATGGGCCACATGTCCGAGTCCAAACAAGCGGGGGTTGCACTGCTCTGCTCGATAACGTCTGCCCTGTGTAAACATTTTCTAGGTGGGAGGTGGGGGCGGGTTAAAACCCGCTGAGCATTTTGTTTTTGTAACGCACGAAAGGGAATGAGTGGCGAGGGATTGTGGATGGACGTTCGCCTGTCCGTTATGCGTGCGTTACACGTGTGTGTGTAGTGTGTGTGTGTGCGTAGTGTGTGTGTGAGCGTAGTGTGCGTGCGTGCGTTACACGTGTGTGCGTAGTGTGTGTGTGTGTGCGCAGTGTGTGTGTGTGCGTAGTGTGCGTGCGTGCGTTACACGTGTGTGCGTAGTGTGTGTGTGTAGTGTGCGTGCGTGCGTTACACGTGTGTGCGTAGTGTGTGTGTGTGTGCGCAGTGTGTGTGCGCAGTGTGTGTGCGTAGTGTGTGTGCGTAGTGTGTGTGTGTGTGCGGTGCGTGCAGGCGCTACGAACCTGGCGGACCGGAGTTGGATTCCCGCTCACGGCCAACAGCAGTCGCAATTATCTGAACCGGTCCTGAGCCTCCCCTAGGTCGACTCAGCCTCAAATTAGTACCTGGTGCGGTGTGTAGTAAACATCGCCACTGGGAAGACAAAGGCGGCCGGGCGTGGTATTGGCCACCCACCCACTTCGTGTGCCGTGCCGGCCAGCATGGGTGCTCGCTAACAGCACTTGCCCCAACATTCTGTCAAGGCTATACGGGGGATCTTTGTCTTTGTTCTTCGGTGGGACCAGGCGCACGCAGCAATCGAGCACAAGACAGGAGGAAGCAGAATGCGTCCCCGTAAGAGAGGCATAGCAACATCAGCGCTTGGCTCCACGACCGTAGCCGAGTAAGAGTTTAGGACTGTGGATGGGCCAAAGATGCATTGCAGAGGGGGAGAGGTGGAGAGAGAGAGAGTGGTGGGTGAGAGTAGGGATGATGGGTGAGGGTGGATGCGTGGTTTGGGGAGTAGGAGGAGGGGGAGTCATTAGGTTGGGTGGTTGGGTGGGGGTGATGCAGCGGTGGGAGTTGGGGGGGTGGGAGGACCGCGCAGAGATGGGAGGAGGCAGGAGAGCTCATGTGAGACGATTGGAGAAGGGATTAAATGAGCGGCCAATCGTGGCGTACCGTCGGAGGTAGTAACAAGGCGTGCAGGCACCGTCGTCTCCCTGCAGACTGCTGCTGCTGCATTCAACCGCAACACGCGCGAACTGCTTTGCTTAGCTCGCTGCCGGAGGGCTTCTGAACAGAGCAGGTTCGCTGCCGTCTGGGCCATGTAAATACCTGCACAGCCAAAGAGCAGCAGCAGCATCGGGCAAGCCCAAGGCCAGACACGGTCACTGCCAAGACAGGAGAAACGAGAGCAGAGGGGTAAAACGAAACGAGCAAAACAGCGACAAATTCACAATCAATATCTTGCAGCTGACCACTCTAAAATAGAGCAAAACTAGAGTGGGGTTTATTTTATTCGTATTCAAACAATCGGACTATCTTTTTTTTGTTGTTGTTGGGGCGGGGGGAGGGAGGGAGGTAGGTAGGGAGGGGGGGGAGCTGTATATTATTCCAGCGGACTCATTGTCGCGACAGCCGCTCTCGTCCTGAGCAGCAGTTCAGCGCCGCGCTTCCAAGACCCGCGCATCCCGTCAACCCCGGCACCGCAACAACAACAACGCGCGACGCGACCTCACGATGGAGCCACCTCGCTCGACGCTCCCGGCCACCCTCCCGCTCGTGGTCACGCCGCCGCCGCGGCTGCTGCTCCTCCTGCTCGCGCTCTCTGCCTCGCCGGCTCAAGCCCACTACTACGACGACTACGGCTGGCAGTCGGACGCCTACCAGGGCAGCCAGCGCTTCTACGCCAAGCCGGCCGTCTGCGTCTCCATCCCCAGCAACCTGCGGCTGTGCCAGAACATCGGCTACGCGCAAATGCGCCTGCCCAACCTGCTCGAGCATGAGTCTTTGCCCGAGGTGCAGCAGCAGGCGGGCAGCTGGGTTCCCCTGCTGGCCAAGCGCTGCCACCCGGACACGCAGCTCTTCTTGTGCTCGCTCTTCGCGCCCGTGTGCCTCGACCGCCCCATCTACCCGTGCCGCTCGCTGTGCCAGGCGGTGCGCGACTCGTGCGCGCCCGTCATGGAGTCGTTCGGCTTCCCGTGGCCCGACATGCTGCGCTGCGACAAGTTCCCCATCGACAACGACCTGTGCATCGCGGCGCAGTCGGCGAGGGGGGGAGCAGGAGGAGGAGGAGGAGGCGGCGGCGGCGGCGGCGGTGTCGGCGGAGGTGCCGGGGTCGACGGAGGGGACGAAGCTGAAGGCGTCACGGCGCAGACAGGTGAGGAAGGTGGGAGGTGGGGTGATTGATTGCGCCGAGGGGATATCGTGGGGATATGTTCGTGGACGATGAGAGTGGCGGTGTAAGTTGGTGGTGGTGATGGTGGTGATTGAGTCAAAAGTTGCGTCTGATGGGAATTGTTCCAAAGTGTCGCGACGGTGACTCGTGTTGTCATTGCAACGACGACGACAACAACAACAAACACCCCAACGTGTGACTACGGTGACGAGATGACGTTGTTCAGGAGTTTTACGAATGCAGACGACCCAGGCGCGTGTGGTTGTTTTCGGAGTTTGCAGGCAGCTGACGAGGTCCAGCAAATGTCCCCGTTTGACTGTGTAATGAATATGAACAACAGATGTACTGCTGAGTTCATCCGTTTTACTGACCTGATATTACTGGGGGGGGGGGTGGGGGTGGCACGGAAATTGTGCGCCCATCACCCCGACGTTTGACGACTAAAATGTGGACTTCGCGTTTGACAGCTTGAGTCACCCTAGAGAATGGCCCAACGGAATCCACACAAGAAGATGAGTAAGACTCGACTTGCAACTCCACTGGTTGCGGCCCAAGAAAGCCTTCACAGCCAAAATAATAAAATCGCCGGTGACTAAATTAACACTGGCAGAACGCAAACCCAGGATGCCTTCACAATCCCCCCCCCCTCCCTCACTTCCCTTTTCACCTTTCCCCCTCACTGATCCCTATCTCAGCCATAGGGCGGGAGGAGGAGGAGGGAACTGGAGGAATTGGGGGGTGGTGGCTCCATCCAACAGGAGCAGGTAGATTGTTTTGAGAGAGCGAGCCGGGTGTTATCATCATAGCGACGCGGTTAAGGTTTTTTTTTTTGCGGCGCTAAGAGAAACGAGAGTATGTTGTGTGTGTGTGGGGGGGGGTGGGTTTGCGCGCGCGCACGAGAGAGAGAGGATTCCTTTTTTGCGGGTCGTTATGCAGGCCTCCGTCCCCGAGTGGTGAGTGAAAGTTGTTTTAAATTGCCTCTCGTGCCTTTCCGCGCGTGCGCGTGTGTGTGTTTTATATGGGGGGGGGGGGGTCCTTTGTGTTGCTGCCTTAAGCGAAATGGATTTAACACCGCTCCGTTTATCCACGCCGCGCGCGCGCGCCTATTTACGCCAAATCGACGTTTTTTGTCCGTGTATTTGAGTCAATTTGGCCGAGGTTGCTGTGTCATTTGCCGTGCATTTATTTATGTCATCCGTTTGTCCGCATTCTGCCAACTCGTACGAAAAGAGAGCCATGCATTTGGCGATGCTGCTGCCATTGGCAGCGGTGCACAAAAAAAACGAGAAAACTCAGGTTCGTCTTTGACACCGTGGCCTTCAAGGGAAACGTTTCAAGAGTAATAGGCGACCTTTCAGTCAATCGGCCATGTGTTATTAAGAAGTGCCATTGCCCGAAACGTCACCTAATAGATATTTTTTTACCTTTTAAGGCATCGACGAATGTGAGTACACACAAAAAAACCGTGGCATGTTGCGTTATAGAAAAGTAAACTCTCACTCCGAACGTGAAATAGGTCCATCAAGAGACATTGCTTGTGTAGATGCCCTGCCTCATGTGTGATCAAGGCCTTACTTTTAATTCTGCCTCATTACCGACAGTTACCATTGTTTTAGAATGAAGCAACGCCCTTTGCATAACGTTGGAAATATTCCAATGTCTTGTTACCATTTCTCTGCGATTCACATTGAGCTTAAATGCTCTGTAAGAAAATCCACTGCTGGTCTGTGTGCAACGGTCCTCCATATAATTGACCCGCTCGCTATATGTGTACACAAAATGTTGTTTTATGTCCCCATGAAATGATGTTTGGGAAAAATGTAAATAGCAGGACATTTGAGTTCCACTTTATTTAATGTGTTCAAAAGAGAGCGAATATTAAATGTGACGCAGCTAAAAGGCAATCTTTGGTATAGAACACGGGTTTAATCACGTTTATAAAGCTTCAATGTACAGACAGTGGTCATGGTATTTAATTGGTTTCCCCCACACATCTATCTATTCATCTCTTGGCCGTGCAGTGTTATCAACATAAGCCCAACCTGTAGGTTGCTGCCCTGAATTTTAGACGGACAGACATTCTCAAATTCGTGACTGTCCCCTTGTATTTTGCATGCAGAAGATATCAGTGGGTTTCGTGGTGAATTCTGATACGGCTAAGGCACTGCGAGTGCTTTAATAACGATGAGTGACGGGACGGCGCAGGAGCGTGGTGAAGACACTTGTGCGGTGGTGTGCTAATGGGTAAAAAAAAAACGCACGCGCCTCACTATTAAATGGAACGCAGACAAAGCGCCGTGGTTTCCAACAACGAACGACGGAAGAGAAACGGGGAGGCAAAGTGAGGAGGAGGAGGAGAGGCAAGTGTGTGCGTCTGTGACGGACGGGTTTGAGACAGTAGTCCTGTTATTTCTCCATAAATGGGCAGCGCTGTTAGCAGTGGAAACAAGGAGAGAGAAAAAGAGCGAGCGAGCGAGAAAGACAAAAAAAATCCGCAGGAGACCCAGAAGTGAAAAGGCCAGTCTGAAATCAGGCTGTGGTCGTCCAGGAGAGAAAGAGAGCGAGAGACGCAATGGAGTGAGGGGCCGGCGAGGGAGAAAGCAAAAGACTGGAGGGGGGATGGGGCATATGAGGGTGGCATTGGGCAGAAGGCGGGGTCGAGGTTGTGCCCGTGAGTGTAATAATAATAACGTCCTCAAAGTGCCCAACTCTCCGTTTCCATCTCTGCCCGGCAGCTTGACAGTAGTGCTGCCCCCCCACCACTCCTCTCCTCCAATCTCCCCACCCACCACCCTGCCCAAGCTCCCTCCCCCCCCCCCCTACATCCTACTTACCCCTCTAAGACCCAAAGTGGAATCTAATTAAACACGCAGACTGACAACCCTAATGAGCTGCAGGCGAAGCGCTAAAGCTGAGCAAAACGCCGCGGCACAAATCGCCGGGTTTTTGTTTAGTTTCTCTCCCCGTGGCTTTTGTATTCCTGCCCGCCCGCAGCACACAATGCAACGCGCAGCCACGCTTTCTGAAGACTCTTCGGGAATTAGGAGGCGAAGTTCAGTTAAATTGGTTCGTAAAATCGCCTCTATTGTGCATTGTTAAGACAAATGCAGGGTTGTGTTGTTTCGGTCTATGGTAGCATTTGTAGTAAGAATAATAATAAATCCATTTGCCTTGGGGGGGGGGGGGGTGGGGGGGAAACGTAAAAAAAATATATTTTTCACGTAAAAAACAAACAATTGAAATGCCTACAGTAGAAATGTATACCTACGTGTAAATAGTTTGTCCTTTTTTTGTTGAAGTGCATGACAATTTATTAAATTTCGCGTGTGCGCCCGTTTTGAGCGTGGAGTTGGCCCTCGCAGAAATTGGTTACCGCTGGTCGGATCATGAGCTTCCCTGGGGGGGAACTGGTGGGGGGCATCAGGGGGGGGGGCATCGGGGGGGGGCATCAGGGGGGGGCATCAGGGGAGGGGCATCGGGGGAGGGGGGACTGGTGGGGGGGGGGCATTGGGAGGGGGTGGCAGGGTACCGATGAGGGGAGCGACAGGAACTCTGAATCTTTTGTCCCCAATTAAAAAAAAAACATTGACTCTAATTAGGAAACAGAATTTGCCTGAACCATCTGGAAACCAAAAAATACAGTATGTGGGATTTGTTTATGTTGAGCAGGCAATTCTTTACAATCACTGGCTCCTTACTGGTATTGCAGATGGGTATTTAAATGAGCGGTAATTTTTCTCACTGCGCGATGAGCCAACGACATGTGTTTGATTCCTTGCCGTGACTGACATCAGTGCCAAGTGATATCCAATCCTGGGAGTGCACTCCTCCTCCTTCACCAATGTGCACTGCCTAACGTGGTGAG